AGAGAGAGAGAGAGAGGGAGAGGAAAAGAGTTTAACGAAGATGTCTGTGAACAAATCCAAATAACATTGGAGCCGAGTGGTTTTTGGCAAAAGAAAAATTAAAAAAAAAAAAAAGAGAAATAAAAAACAAAGAAAAAAAGAAGAAGAAATTTTTACCTTTTGAAGAGTCTTGATAACTTCAATGTGGAGCAAAGGGTATTTCGGACAGTCTGCCAAAGGGTGTGGACATCACACATAAAAAGGAAGAAGAAAAGAAGAGAGAAAAGGAGTGAATGTGAAAGATCTAATATATATATATATATATATATATATAGAAACCAAAAAAAGGGGTATCTTATCCTTCAGTAGAGAGCACACGAATAAAGCGGAAATATTAACAACTCTCTCTCTCTCTCTCAACCCCGGCCAAAGAAAGACTAATAATTTGGACCCATAAACAAGGAATGAAAACAATTAATAGAAGAATTAAAAGATATATATATATGTATGTATATATATGAAAAAAAAAAAAAACACAATGTATAAGGGCGAAGTTGGATAAGAAAAGAAAAATGAAAAAAAGCAAAGTTTGACAAGGATACACTCGGATAATGTTGCAGGTAAAAAAAAAAAAGGGGGGGAAAAAAAATAAAAATAAAAAGAAGTGGAATTTGGGATGAAATGGGAAAAAAGGGAAATTTCAGGACCCCTCTTTTTTCCTCTTTTTTTTTCTTCTTTTATTATTCTAGCTTTTTCTTTGTTTTCCCTTTCTTTTCTTTCTTATCCTATGTGATATTTCCCTTCTTGGAGGGGTCGTCAAATCCTTTGATTTCTTTCATTTTTTTTTTTTATTTTATTTTGATGTGTTTTTTGTTTATATTTGAACCTTCCACTTCTCAGAAATATCTCTCTCTGTCTGTGTGGTGTGTGTGTCTGTTTGCGTGGTTGTGTTAATCGAAATCTTTTCGCAACCCTGACGAGAGGTGTTGTTGGGCTTTTTTTTTTTTTATCTTTTTTTTTTTTTGGATTCCGTTCCTCCTTTGATATCATCAGGGAAGAATGTCCATCCCCCATCGGCAATTATGTGAAAGATGATAAAAAGGAAAAAAAAAAAAGAAAGAAAGAGAAGAAGAAGAAGAAGAAAGAAAGAAAAAAATAAAATAATAAACTGATGGTAACGTCAGTTTATTTCTAATGAGTGTGTGATGCACAGAGTGTATGTGTCTGTGTTTTGTTGTTATTACTATTATTATGGTTATTCTTCCTATCTATATATCTATCTATCTATGTGTACCCCTCTATTTATATGTTAATGATTAGCCTAGGGGGGAAACCGTTGTTGTTGTTTATGTATATATACATTATATATATATATATATATATATATATTTCTCTTGACTAATAATAATGTTGTGGTTCTTTCTTTCTCTCTTCTTTGATGTGACAGCTGTATTGGATGTGAATTTGAGATTTGTGAAGAGAAAACTCGAAAGAAATAAAAGAAAAATATAGATATCTCTTTGAAAAGAGTTGCCAATGAAGGAAAGAAGCAAAAATAGTAATATCAGTAATAGTAATAGTAGTAGTGATGTCAATTCCGGCTTTAATGTCAATATTGAAAAGCCAAGATTGCGGTTTCCACGGCAATACTTTCATAGATGGATGATGGTACTTTATCTATTTATAGTTCTTTCCATACTCCATAGTGGTAGTGCCTTATCTTTACATGCTACTCGTAGTCGTAATGTCTACAATAAATCCTCAACACCTTCATCATCTTCATCATCTTCTTTTTCTCTGCATGGAGTTACAACAGATACACATGATCATCATCGTAATAGTGTTATTTCCACAAGTGTGAGTTTTGTGGGTTGGACGGCCAGTGCGGTGAAGTTAGAAAATACGGGTATTCTCCCTTCTGCGGTTGTGATGGGCCGTTATTTATTTATTATGGGAGGTGCCAAACTTTCTCCATGGTTTACGGAATTAGAGGAATTCCTTAATGATTATGCCTTACGTACAGTAAATGTATTAGATCTTACTTTAGGTGTTCTTGTCCCTTCATGGATGCTTCTTCACAATGATTCTCATAAAGAATGGAATATTAATGATATTGATATGCAAACATCTTCACCTTTACCACCACGAGCTCCTTTGCAATTACGGTTTCCAGCTGTTGGAACGGCTAATGCGGTTCGTCTTGGTCGTGCTACTTATATTATTGGTTTCTGTACAATGATTCCACAAAGTGTATTTGTTCCTTCTAATGAAAATACAAGTAATTTTCTTCGATCTGTACAAGTGATGCGTTTATATCAACAACAGTTTTCACCTGTAGATGATGTGACGGTAGATATAAGAAATACAAGTTTACCCACTAGTGCCACTTTACGATTTAATGCAAGTTGTGTTGGAAGTGGGGATAATGTGATTTATATTGTAGGAGGTGTTTCTCTTGAAAATCTTGAACCATTAGCATCTGTTTCTCAATATAATGTAGAAACAGGTCAATTTATTGATGCTGGTTGGCTTTTAGATTCTCCACTTATTGGACCTGGTCTTTTAGAAAGTAGTGATTTACTATTTATTGTAGGTGGTTACACACATTCTGGTAATAATAATTATAATGAGAATGTGAATGATGTGAATGTAAGTAGTACAGTCTCTGTAATTGACCCAGCTTCCTTTAAAACGAATATTGGTTCTTATGAATGTACACAACCCCTTCATTGGTATTCTCCACAGATTATTCTATATAATCATACATTAGCAGTCATTGGACCAACCAATAATCGTGTATTTGATCGTCTACAAGTATGGGAAGATCTTATGCAGGAATGGCGATATGTACAAGAAGTTCCTATTGGATTACTTCCACTTCGCACAAATGCTCTTGTCGCCACAGTTCCTAAATTAGATGGAGTGATTTTATATCTTATTGGGGGAGAAATTCCTCCACCAGATGGTTCAGGTGTTTCTTCTGATGTTTTCACTGGAACTATGAATGTAGATGATGGTCATATTTGTGTGGATGTGATTGGATTTCATTATATTGCCGTTGCCGATAAAGTATTACCGCCTTTATTTGTTTCTCCAGGATTACATGCATGGAGTGTCGGTATAGACACCATAGAAGAAGAAGATGATGAAATAATAACAAGAAGAAGAAGTGAAGTAAAGGATTCATTAACTCCTATACAACCCATGGAAGAAGAGAAGAAAAAGGAGAAAAAGAAGGAATTCTATGAAGATAATACAGACAGTTCATTATCATCATCATTATTCTCAACAATCACAGCAAGAATAACAGCAAGTCCAACAATAACAAGAATGATAAGTCCAACAATAACACCAACAGAAGAACCACCAACGCCTCCTCCAACTCCACCGCCTGTTCCTCCACCTAAAGATTTACCCAATAATGATGGGAATATCACTATATATGTAAATGGATATGAACCACTGTGGTATAATTTTACATTTAGTATTCTTTTCACAGAGAACATTGCAGAGGCTTGTCCTGATATCAATGAACCTAATGATACAAAGGCCTATCATAATAATAATGATAATCATCATCATCATAAAGTAAGTGATAAACCATGTTTATTACGATTATCTGATAGCCCAACGTGTAATGAACCCTTACTAGATATTGGTAATTTAACTTCTGCTAATACAAAGAAAATAACCGTGGAAACAAGAGATCCTAATACAAATAAAACCGTAACAAAGACTTATATGGCGGTAGGACCCATAACTCTTGTAGGTTCATTAGAAAATGGTATACTTAACCTTACATTGGATCATTTATCTTTTGATGAGAATAGCAATTCCATTATGTTTAAACGTCGACGTAAACAACCAAGTTTTGGTAATGAAAGTACAAGTATATTTTATGAACAGTTGTTTGTATATATGTGTTTTTCAAGTGGGGCATCTAGTTTACCGCAATGCAAAAAGAATTATTATCATTCCACAAATCATAAAATGAATCAACACACAAAACCATGTACTTCTGCTCTTTATAAAGTGTTAAATATTGATCGACCATTTGTTTTATCACCAGTGACGAATTGGGTTCCACAGACAACCACTACCACAAGTGCTCCTATCCCTTCAGATGATAATAGTATATCCAAGACTACCATTGCTTTACTCCTTGTATGTATGATGGTCCTAGTAGTCTTTATTGTACTATTAATTATATGTTTACTGAGATGGCGTAGAAGAAGAAACCGTGAAGAGAAAGAACGACAACGATTATTAGGTCCTAATGGAGGTTACGAAGGTGATGAAGATGAGGATGAGGATGAAAAAGAACGTAGACGAAATATTGGTCGTGGTGCTGCTTTACCAGCCCATCAAAAACATGGTTTATTAGATGGGAAATATCGAGTTCTGCATAGACTGGGTCGTGGAAGTTTCTCTGTTGTTTATCTAGTAGAACGCGTAGAGGATGGAGAACGATTTGCATTAAAGTATGTACAATGTGCAGATGATGTGGATCGAGTGGAGGCTATGCGAGAGTGTGATGTGGCCTTTGCACTACAGGGACATCCAAATGTGATTAAACTTGTGGATATGTTTATGTCCTATCGATTTGATACCCATCTACAGAATGGTAATAATAATCATAATCATCATCATCATCATCATCATCATCATAATAATAATAGAGGACGGAAGAATGGAGGAGATGCATGGAAATCCCCAGATTGTTCAGTTATTGTACGTGTGGATAGTGCCAGTGAAATTCTTCAACAACAACAAGCGGCATTAACAACCGCAAAGTCTGGAGAACGATATCTTTCACTTGTGATGGCTTATCATGAAAAGGGAGATCTTGGTAAGTGGATTAGACAACAAAAGTCTGAACCCATGATACCAGAAACAACTGTTGTGAGTATTGCCTATCAAATTCTTACCGTTCTTCAGTTTATGCATCGACATAAACCACCTATTATACACCGTGATTTAAAACCAGAAAATATTCTTCTTGAATCTATTTCTTCTTCCAGTAAAGAAGGAAAAAAAGATGAAGGATGGGGATATAATAAATCATCTCGAAATACAGAAGCTTTACGTGTAGTAGTAACAGATTTTGGACTTTCACGTGTAATGGATAAAACCTTTTGTGAAACGGGAGTGGGTTCATTACCGTATGTGGCTCCTGAATGTTGGCAACGTCATTATTCTACAAAAGTAGATATTTGGGCACTTGGATGTATTCTTTACGCGGTATGTGCAAAACGTGTGGAAAGTGATAATGTGAAGGTGATGTTTAGTGAATCCAATCATCCTGATTTTAAGAAAAAATTATTAGATGAGTTAACACAAGTGTATGGATATAGTTTGGCATTAGCGGCCTTTGTGGTGTATCTTCTTGAACCGGATCCCGTGCGGCGTCCAAGTGCGGAAGAGGCACTTCGTTTAATTTGTAAACGACGTAAAGACGCATTTGGAAATCCAGATACCATCACAACCGTATCCCTTTATAAAGAGGATGAAGAAGAGGATGAGGAGGATAATAATAATAATAATAATAATAATAATAATAATAATAATAATTCTGGTGATGAGAAGAAGGAAGAGAATCATACTAATGATACGAATAGTAAAATAGAGAGTATTCATGGTGGTGGGTATGAAAGTAATAAAAATAAGAGTATTGGATATTCAGCGGATAATAATAATAATAATAATAATAATAATAATAATAATAAAAATGGAGGAAATACTCCAGAAACAGTTCCAGGAGAAACTACTACTAATACGAATACGAATACGAATACTACTATGGATATTACTGGTGTTGGGGTTTCTGATCTTCATGAAAGCCACAGTCATCCAACTATGAGTAATGGTAGTGGAATGGACAATACTTTCTGCACAGAAACGTATAGTCGTCCCTCTCCAACTCTCTCTCGGTCAACATTTGTGCAGAATACAAATACAACCGTAGAGGCTTCCACACGTGAAGGGAATTCCAATGCCGCTTCTTCTATTCCATCTTCAAGGAAAAAATCACGGAAAGAAGAACTTCATCAACAGAAGTTAAGGAAATACTTTGGAGAAATTGTAGAGGAAAATGAACAATGTGATTTCTTTATTTCCACCGAGTCTCCATCCCTGTTAACACTACCAGGGCCAACAACCCATAAATCCCCAGCGCATGTGGAATTAACTATTGAAAGAACCACAACTTCTACACCCGCGTGGACTACTCCAATCTTATCCACTACAACAGTAGTTAATCATATAAATAGTGATAGTGATGGAAGGCGAGTAAACGAAACGGGAATGGTGGATTGTCGAAGTATGTGTGAACTTCCATCATCACCGAAAGATACAAATGATGAGAAATTAAAGAATAAGAATAGGAAGAAAAAGAAAAATAAGAAGGGAAGAATTATCCTCGCATGTGATGATGAATCTATTATTGTGAAGGAACCTACACCCTCATCCTCATCCTCATCACCTTCACCACCAAAGTGAGATGCTGAAAATAAATATGAATCTTACTGGTGTTTATTATTATTATTATTATTATTATTATTATTATTATTATTTCTCTCTCTCTGTGAGGATGATGTGTAGTAAAGGGGATTGTATTTATGCTATGACGTTAATTGTGCCTTTTTTTTTTGCTTTGGGAAAACGGAAAAATAGGGAAGAATGATGTAGCAACTATTATATATTTATTTATTTATTTATTTATTTATTTATGCGTGTGTGGGTGTTTTTTTTTTTTTTTTTAGTTCTCTCTCCTTCTCTCTCTAATTCTCTCACTTTNAAAACGGAAAAATAGGGAAGAATGATGTAGCAACTATTATATATTTATTTATTTATGTAAAATTCTATTTATGCGTCGTTCCGTGTTTTTTTTTTTTTTTTTTGGTTTTTCTTTTAGTTCTCTCTCCTTCTCTCTCTAATTCTCTCACTTTATATAAATATATATGTATACATATGTATGTCTGTCTATGTTTCTTGCTTTCCTTTCTTTTTTTTTTCTCTCTTTTGCTTCTTGTAGGTATAAAATATAGTATAAATAAAATAAAAGTACTAGTAGTAGCAGTAGTAGCACAATAATAACATCAAGAATAGGAAAAAAAAAAAAAGGCATAACCGTTTTTTTTTATTGGTTTTTCATTTTTCCTCTCTTTTTTTTCTCTCTTGCTATTGATTTATCTTGTTGTTATTATTCTTACATTTGGGGGAAAACCATTGAGGGTTTAAAAAAAAAAAAAGAAACAAATAAAGAAAAAAAGTAAAAAAGAAATGCGGTTTCTACATCTCATTCTGATTTGTGTTTTAACTCTTCTCATTAACGCACTATTTAGTTTGGCCGCTATTGCGGATAATCACCAAGCAAGTGCGTGGGTGCCATTTGAAAACAGCATGTCTCGTGGTAGAGCCCACACGGCGGTGGTGTTTGTAAATGCCTCTTTTCTCATCGCTGGCGGCTGTGTAGATGTGGCCTGTCGACAGCAAGTCAACACAGTGGATATACTAGATCCCAATCAACAGGTGTTTACACGGCACTTGGAATTGCCTATTAAACTACGTGTACCTTTACCGAATTTCAACAGTAGTAGTAGTGGCAGTAGTAATAGTAGTAACAGTCGTAGTGGAAATAACAGTAGTCAGAATGATGATGATAATAATAATAATAATAATAATAATAATAATAATAATAATAATAATAATAAGGGATATGAAAGAAAAAGAAAAAGAGAAGAAGAAGTGTATGTATCTCTTGGATTCTCTGGTCCCACTGCCGTGGTAAGAGTCGATAGAAGTGAAGAAGAGGATTCTCTCTTGTTTGTGGTTGGACCTTGTAGTTATTATTTCCCGGATCATCAAGGTTTGGCAAATGCTTCTCTTGTACAACAGCAATATGGAAGTATATGGCAACTCTCCAGTGATTTAACAGAAGTTGTTGAACATATTCACATTCACAAGAAATTATATAATAATAATAATAATGATAAAATAAAGGGAGAAGGTGTAAAAGAACAAGCACTACCATTATTCCGTGCGAATGCCACCTGTACTTCACGTGAGGGTTTCATTATTATTATTGGTGGTGTGGATATCACAACAGGTAAACCATTGGATTCAATTGATGTTTACGATACGAAGAAAGGACAATATATTCCCGATACCTTTCGTCTCTCATCACCAGTGCGGAATCCATTAGTAGCAGTGGATAGTGGACTTATTTACATTGCCGGAGGAGAAACACATGGTTGTCCATATGAGCATGTAAAGAAAGATTTGGATGTAGAGAGGGATTCTGCAGGATGTACAGATAATATGTCATGGACTGCGAAAAATGAGAATATGAATGAAATAGAAAAGTTTCATAATTACTGGCATCCATCTTCTGTGGTACAAACTATTATTTTAGATTCCACTCTTGATAAAGAGCAAAAGAATGGAAATCAAAGTAATGATAACTTGAATGATATTCCTTCTTTTCACTTAGTAGGTGAGTTACCCGCTAACCCAGAACTTCTTGTACCTAGTGGTTATAATGATTCCCATCCATTACTTAATGTTTCCGTATATGATAATCGTCATCTCTTTGTATTTGATGGTAAACTATGTCTTATTCTAAACAGTAGTTTTACTAACTGTTTGGATGTGGAAAGCTATCTTAACAATAAGAATAGAGATAATACTACTATGGTTAGTAGTATGGGTAGTTCTTCTGAATGGCAGGCACTCTCCTGTTTTTCCTTCCCCACACCTGTACACTCACAGACATTCTTTGCCTTTACACTTCCTGCAGGTATGTTAGGTGCAATGCTTACATTCTTTGCAGTGGGTGGTTTTAACAGTGATGGGATTGGATCAGCTGTGGTTTTTTACCGTACAAGTGGTCTTCTTACCTCAAGTGTACCCAACGTGGAAGGATTTGTATATATTATTGATGATATATATCGTAGTAAGTCTAATCATAATAGTGAGGAGGATACAAGTACAAGTATGAATGATAAGACGAAAGGTTCACTGCTTTCACTTCCACTTCAACCTCCACGTAGTGCGTTTGTAAGACTCTCTGGAAATCCTGTATGTATTGGTACCGTAGCGAATACAGAAGATGTGTATGTAAATTATCAACCAGGAACCGCTGCTGTGGCTACTTTTCATCCCACTATACCTGCCGCTCATGTATATGTTTGTCTGGCAAAGGTGCCTGTACAAGTTCCTGAGAATACAAAGAAGAGTTTATTGTTACTTTTTACTCCTGTAACATTTACACCGTTTCGAATTGCCTATGCCTTTCATCCAGCACCAGAAGATAAGAAAACAGGTGGAAATAGTCTTCACGTAGTACTTATTACTATTTCTGCTGTATTAACGGTTACCTTATCGGTATTAGCCGTATTCTCAGTACGTATGAAACACACCGCAGCTGGTGGAAATGATTGTGAGTATGATTTGGCTACATGTCTATTAACTAATGGAGATGCAGAGAGACGATTGCCGAATGATGGAAGTAATATGAAGGATATGAATGTGATGTTTTGTAAAGAGCAGCAAGGTATGATGGGAAAGATGGATAAAACTGTGAATAATGTTATTGCTAATACGAATGTGAATACGAATACGACTCCGGCTGTGGAATATATACATGTACGTGAAAACCCAAAACGTGAAAGAGATTATGTGGTTAAAAACACAACAGAGAGTTCACGATATGAGGTGGTTCGCTGTATTGGTGAAGGGGCCTTTTCCTCTGTCTATTTAGCCCGCCGTAGGTCGGATGGCATCTTATTTGCTCTTAAATATCTCATTTGTAAAGATGATAAAGAACGCCTAAGTGCTATTCAAGAGTGTGAAACGATTAACTCTGTTCAGGGACATCCATGTATTATTCGCCTGTGGGATATGTTTATGAATTACGAATTTGGGGCTGGAAAACAAGTGGGAGGAACAACAACAACAACAACAGCAGCAGCAAGAACAGGCGGGGAAATGTCTATAGAGACACAATTGGCCCTTCCACCAGCCCAGTGGAGACTCACAGGAACACAGAGAAGAGATGGACGTTCACCATGTGATGAGATGACTGTATTGAAGGTTGCCCAAGAACAATTACTACAAATACAATTACAACAGCAACAACAACAATTACAAAAACAAAAACAATTACAATTACAACAACAACAATTACAACAAAGACTCCTTTCACCACATCTCATGCCTCTTACACTTGGGAATACCAAATCTATCTCTGTAGGTAAACCTATCCCATTACAATCACCTAGAGAACAACCACAGTTGAGTGAAGGAGTTACATTACAGCAGAGTACACGAACAGAAAAACGGGGTTCTTTACTTGTGGAGTTGGAACGGCCATCACTACCGCAAGCAACCCCCATTCCAATCACAAATACACCTACAGATCACAATAATAATAATAATAATAATAATAATAATAATAATAATAATAATAATAATAATAGTGATAATAATAATAATACTCACTCTGTAGTATCCACTACAGGAGCAGGAACAGCGGCAGCAACCGTAGTGACACATAATGATACCCATGTTGAAGGTACTCAACCACCACAGAAATTTAAAGACAACAACAACAACAGCAACAGCAGCAGCTATAGTAATAATAACCCAAAGCCAATAGTACCAGATAATCTAAATCCAGCTTCTACTAACAACACACCTGCAGTGGTGGCACCAGTAGTAGTACAACAAGAAAAAAAGGTACATTACTTAAACTTTGCAGATCCATCTCAATTACCGCCAACAAGAAATATCCCTGAGCGAGAAGTTCCGACTACACAAACAGTTGCTCGTACTTCCTATGCCCCACGCGGTACGATTCATTACAACAACTTTGATATTACTTCTTCAGGTTTTGGTGGTATGCCATTTACACCAATAACTCAGAAAAATAATATTACAAAGCCTCCTACTGCAAGTAGTAATATTAATAATAACAATAATAATATTACAACCTATGCACCGTTGCGGTATGTTCAACCTACTGTAAGTAATATGCAGTATTCCAATTTTATTCCTGCATATGCTGTCGAAAGTAAAAACACAGCGCTGGATGAGAAGAAAAAGAAGGAGGAGGAAGTACCAATGGTTAAACCCAAATCCGTTGCTGAAGCTGTACGTGCGGCTCATGCTGTTAAACGTAATGAAGAAAAAGAAGCTCTCGGGATCCAATCACCACCACAACAACAACAACCACAACCATTACCATTATCCCTTTCTCCTCCAAATGTCACAGTATGTCCTGAAAGAAATGCCATTCTCACTGCTGTAGGAGGAACCACCACCACAACAACAGCAACAAAGGCAACACCAATGACATTCATACAACCATCAAATGAAAAGGAAAGTGAAATAGGAGGTCATAATAATATGATGAAGCCATCACCAGCTATTGATCCTATTGGAAGTCCATCCCTACAGAAACAACAACAACAACAAAAAGAACAACAACCATGTGAAGAAGTAAAGAATTCTCTTCAGAAGCCTGCAGTAGCCAAAATAGCGGAACCTATACCGAAGCGCATGCCTCATGAAAAGAAATCCCCAATCTTTGGTTTATCAGATTCTGGCCCAATTCACACGCGATACTTCTGTCTTTTGATGGATTATCATCCTATGGGAGATCTCTGCCGTTATGTTCTTCAACACTCTGCGAAACACAATGATGAACTACGCCGTCAATTAAAAGAAGAAGAAGAAAAGGCTCGTTTGGGGAAACAATTAGAAGATAACTCTAGAAAAGAAGAAGAAGATTCCACAGGTTGGGTTCGTATTCTACCAGGGAATAATAGTAATAACAGTCTTTCTATATTCCGACCGGGTAAATCATCCTATACTTTACATCCATCTGCACGATGTCATTCTTCTCTTGATCGAGGTAATTTTCCCTCAGCACAAGCCGTAGTGGGAACACAAACTTGTAGTAATGATGGTACTTCTACAGGAAGTGGAGGTTGTTATGATAGTAATAGTATTGATAATAGTACTGCCCCTGCTAATAGTAGCAATACAGATACTGATTTTATCATGCGTGGAAATGCTTTTACGGAGGAACAACTTCTCTCCATTGCATGTCAATTAGCCTCTGTGTTGGTGCACCTTCACTCACAGCATCCACCTATCGTACACCGTGATCTTAAACCAGAAAACATTCTTATTTCTGGAGTACCCTTACAAGATAATAGTAACACGCAATCTGGAGATAAAAGTGATGATGATGGTATCAAGAATGAAATTGATGATCGTCCTCATCATAATAATAATAATAATAATAATAATAATAATCATGAAGATGGAAATGCTCCTGTTGCGATTCCTATTGCTGCTGCTGCTTCTTCTGGTGGTAGTGTTGCCCATACCCCACAACGAAAGAAGGAACGTCGTTCTCCACGAGAAGTCACCGGTTGTTCCGTTAAATTCACACAAGATTTCATTCCTATTGTTGTTACGGACTTTGGATTGGCATTAGTGCAGGAAGATAGACGTCGGGCCGGTCGTGGGGGAGGCACTCGGCCGTATATTGCCCCGGAGTGTTGGACTGGCCACACCAGCACCGCCAGTGATGTGTGGAGTCTTGGATGTGTTTTGTATGCTCTCGCCACTGCCCGAGTGACGGCGCAGACGGTGCGAATAATGTCGGAGGAGGCCATGCGAAGTGGATTCTCTGCGATGGTGTTTAATGATATTCGTGCGAATAATTATTCCTTGGCGTTGGCGAGTTTTGTGGTGTCGTTGCTGGTGGTGGATCCCACCAAGCGGCCCACGGCGCCAATGGTGCTGCAGTGTTTTATGTCGGAGAATGGAGTGGTGAGTTTTAATCCAAACTGTCCGTTCTTTAGCAACGTTGTGGACCTCTGAGTATCTCTGAGTAAATAATAAGAATAATAAGAATAATAACAAGAAGAAATAGAAGAAAAGAAGAAAAGGAAAGGAATTATTAGTACCAGTACTGTGACTAGAGCAAGAGTGAAAAAAAAAAAAAAAGAAGAGGAAGGAAGAAAAAAAAGAAAGAAAGAAAGAAAAAATTAGGAATATAAAGAGTGTGTTTCTCTTCTTTTCCTTGAGTGTTTTGTTTTGTTTTGTTTTGTTTTGTTTTGTTTTTTGCATGTGTGTGTGCATACGTGTTTGCTTTTTTTTTTTTTTTTTTTTTTTATTCATGTCTCCAACGATGTTTGTTTGTTTGTTTTTTCTTTGTTTAGATTGCTGTGTGTTCATCATCCTTCTCCTTTGCTTTTAGTTATGTATTTCACTCGACTATGTATATTCTTTCTCTTACGCCCCGCATAAGGGCGGTCTATCAGGTACCCGATTGAGCAAAGAAATGAGAAGTAGGAAAGAAAAGAAAAAGAAGTGAAAGGAATATACATTTCTGTGAAATGAGACTTAAAACAATGGAAGGAAGAAAGAATGTGGATCAGCATTACAAATAGTGCATGTTTTTATTATTATTTAAAAAAAAAAAGACGTATGAAAGAAATTATGTGAAAAGATGTTGAGTGGATTGAAAAGAAAAAGAAAAAAAAAAAAGAGAAGAAGAGACAATGACGAACTGTTTTATTGTATGTGAGAGTGGGTGTTTGAACCCATGTATGCATTTCATTTATCTGCCTTTGCTTTTTTACGCATTATAAGTGAATCTAGAATTCAATGGACCTTCGTGAGAAACTACTCCTTATATATATATAAGAAAAGGAAAGGGGGAGAAGAAAAAATAGAATCCAGTAATGATTAATAAATGTGGTTTCTTGTTTTACAATTGCTCTTGTTGTTTCTTTTTTTTCTTCTTCTTCTTTGGGAGGGAAAGTATAGAAGTGTATATACATTCATACATACATACATACAGTTGAATATATATATATAGTTGTTATTTTTTTTTTTTTGGTTTTTAATAGGGGTTTAGTACGAATATTATGTTTCGTGCTGGTTCTTGCGGTGGGGCATCCTTTGCCATGCTCCTCTTAAAACAACAGAAACAACAATTTCAACAACAACAAGAGCAGCAAGAGCAACAACAACAAAAGGGAAAAAAAGAGTCGTGGGAGTTCACTCCAACACCTGAACATAAAAGTCTTGTACTCCTTCTCTATCGTAATATTCTTAAAGGTCTTATGGATTTTAAAAGCATTAGACGACGTAGTATGATTGCTTATTGTCGTTTTGCCTTTCGTCGTCGTGCCCTCGCCACGGAGAAACTCTTAATTGATGAATGTATTGAAGAGGCCCGTCGTGCTATTTATGTATTAGAGAAACATCACAACTTTACTCGCACCCGCAGTTATGAGTTTGATAGTATGGGGATTCCCAAAGACACTGGCCAGGATGTGCAGACGTACATGGAAGAAGTGTATGACCCGGAGCTCAGTCGACAGCAGTTTCAACACTTTCAAGATGTACAGCCGGGCCGTGAGTATTTACATCAACAGCGGGGTTTAGGCCCTACAAGTGGACAACATCACTGGTGGGATGGAAAGGATGAACAGAAGAGTTCAACGGGATATAAAGTGGAGATTCGAGAGGAGGATAAAGTACTGCGGCCACCACCCCCACCATCCATGTTGGATTAAAAAAAGAAGAAGAAGAAGAAGAAAAGGAGGAGGACCGTTTGATTATTATTATTATTATTATTATTATTATTATTATTATTATTATTATTATTAATGTTTGTGTTATTTATTCTTTTTATTTATTGAGGGAGTGTGTGGGTGAAGAGTTTTTTTTCTTTACTAGATGGTACTAACAATAATAATAATAATAATAATAATAATAATGGATCTAGTTGTTGTTGTTGTTATTTATTTGCTACTATATCGTTTGTGGATGGGGAAGGGTGTACAATAGCACCAAGAAGATAATGATAGTGAGTGAGTGGAAGATTATTATTCTGTGTAGAATGATAAATACTACCCATTGGGATATGATTTTCTATGCATATATATATATATATATATATATATATATATGTATATATATATATATTTTTTTACTATTCTTTTTCTTTATTCTTTTCTGTTTCGGCCATAATAGGTAGTGTCCCCCTTTAGTTGTCGTTGTTCTCATTTTTTTTTTCTGTTTTTTTGAGCAAAGCGAATACCACCCACGTGTGTGGACATCGCCAGTGGAATCACACAAAGGAAGAACAACAGGACAATAAAAGAGAGAAAAAAGGAAGAAGAAAATAACATACACAGACGTACAAGTTACTACTAAAGGGGAATAAAGAAACACTACAATCATCAAGAGGAGCAATTGTCTAATTTAAAATATAAATATAAATAAATATATATATATATATATATATATATATATATATTTGTTTTCTATTTTTGTGTGTAGATATCATATTTTCTACGCATAAAGGAAGGAAGGAAGGAAGGAAAGAGAAAAAGTGGGGTGAATGGTGTAAACTGGACAAGCACAACGCGGTATATCTGTGAAACTCTTTGCATTTTAATTATTATTATTATTATTATTATTATTATCGTTGTTGTTGCTGTCGTTGTGGTTCCTTTCATAAGTATATGAATATACACCCATCAATGGTTCCATCCTTACACCATGGCGAAGAACAGGAGAAACAGAATATTATGGATGCTCCACAAACTGCAGAGACAGGAATGAATGTGAATTTATATCCTCTTACAATTCGTAGAACTACACGGAGAAAACTCTTCGCACAATCCGCACAATCCGCACAATCGCGAATGTATGTTAACAGGAATGAAGTAAATACCAATATCATAGACTCTAGTGAAGTACCAGATAAAAATCAAACCGTTAGTACAAATGAGCCACCAACTCCCAGTAATGGTACTTTTGTTTATATTGGGATTCCAAAGCAGTTTGTGCCATCTAAAGAAAATGGTAATTCATTTGATTTTGACGTTATCGTTAATACAGATCCTGTACAGAAACGTCTGTCCGCTCCTCTTATGGATACAGCAAACCAAGAAGGCGTGAACCACCCTATTTCTTCACTCCCTCGTGTAAATACAATAGATGAGGCAGAGAAAAAGAAAATAAAGAATAAAGAAGATGATATAAAGAAAAGAAGAAGAGAAATTGGAAAAGGGGAAGAAAGAAACAAAGAGCAATTTCTTAGTGAAATTTCCTCTTCCGGTTCTGGTGATCTCTCTAGTTTAAAAGGAGCAGCCACTGTACCCACTTTCACAGGTCACTCCCGAAGGCGACGTCTCCCTAAACGTAATAATATGCATTCTTCACGGTTAGTCATTATGGAAACAGCAGATGATGGTCCTTGTAATAGTTCCCAACAACATAAAGAAAAAGAAAAAGAAGAAAAAGATCAAAAACTTCAGAGATGTCTTCCATTACGGAACTGTGGAACCTCTTCTAGTACACTTCCTATGCTATTTGGCACAGAGGAGAAATCAATTGGTAATTCATCATCTCCAAAACGTTTTGAAGAAGGTGAAGGAGGAGTTTGTGTTAAATTAAAGAGTGATCTCCTGTGCTCACAAAATCAAGAGAAGAAGAATATGAGTCATAGTGTTAGTAGAACCATATCTGGAGATGATTCAAACAGGAGTAAGTGTGAAGTTGAGGAAAATGATAATAGATATTTACTAGTCTCAATCAATGAAAATTCATGTAGACCATTAAAGAGTATGGATCACTACAAGGGTAAAGACCCCAATCAGATTAGTGAAATCATCTGTGGTAGTGATACGAATACGGAGAAGAATCTATCTACACAGTTGCAGTTACCTTTCTTGACATATTTATATGATACCAACAATATACCGGAACTCCTTGATGATGATGATGATGATCGTGATAATGTAGACACCACTCAGCCTTTGGTGGTGTTACCATCGGTATCTAGTAAGAATGCAGAACCCAGTAGCAATGGAGAAGAAATAGTGAAGAGTGAAGAGGATGTATTTAACGCTGGTAGAAACCAGGAGTCTCATGAACAACGACGACGACGACGACGAAGAAGTTCCTGGTGGACTGGTAGTTCTCTCCGACAGGCATTTTCCCGTTTATATGGTAGACATTCAGGAAAAAATAGTGAAAGTAGTGGAAATAGTGCGAGTAGTATTGGTTTCGTTGCTCAACTACACCAGGAAGATCAGGAGGATCATAGTCGTAAGAAGAAGAAGAAGCGAAAAAGTATTGTAGTCTCACCAGTACGTGCATTGCCGCCTTCTTCACGTCGTTTTCCCACTTCCGGTGACTCTACACATTGTTCACCGCAATCTCATACATTTGTCTCTGGTAAAACAATGCATACAAAGAGATGTGATGCCTCTGCCTTTCGTTCTGTCGTCTCTGGACGGCAGAGTGTAGAAATAGAAACAGGAACCACAACAGATCTTTCCACAGCCCGCTTGAATTCCACAAATGGAGATCATAAGACACGGCGAGTGCGGAGTAGTAAAGGATCTCTCTGTAAAGATGATGACGTTGCCGTCTTTTCCCCATTAGTGCCTTTTCTAACCGTACAAAGCATTACGAGTGAGGTTGGGGATAATAATAATAATAATAATAATAACGGTCCTGAAAGCAGGACTTTAGGGTCAGAGAGTGGAGAGAGCTCCATCCTCTCATTCTAATATATATAAAAAAGGGGGAAATCAAAAAAGAAGAAAAAGAAAAAGAGGAGGTGTATACCAAAAAGGGGTTTAAATAATAATAATAATAATAATTATTATTATTATTATTATTATTATGTGAAGAATAAAAAAATGAGGAGTTGAATGAAGGATTAGACGTTATTTATAAATTATTTCTTACTCATCCCCTCCCTCTACTCTCTTCTATTTTTCGTAAATGTGATTTTTTTTTTTTTTTTCTGTTCCTATTCCTATTCGATCTATGTTGGATGTCTCTTCGGTACTGATTTCACGTTTTCTTTTGTTTTTGTTTTTTGTTTTTTTGATGGGGATTTTGTAGTTTATTTTATTTCAGTATTGCATGTTTTTTTTCTTTTTTTTTGTTTTTGTTTTTTAATCCTCCCTTTTTTTTTCTCTTTCTGTGTGAATTTCTTTTTTTTTTTTCTTTTTTTTGATTTTTAATCCGGACGATTGATGTATTCCTGTTGTTCTTTCTCTTCTTATTTGTGTGAAGTAAGTGAAAGGATAAAGGGAGTCCCGTGGAGAGAGAAAAAAAGAAAAAAAAAATGTCCAGTGGCTATAAAGAATAGATAATAAAAAAGCAAAATTGAGGAGTTGGGAGTTGTATATGTATTCATTGTCATTCTCATCGTTTGTTTGTTTGTTTGTTTTCCTTCTTAGTTAGTTGAGATTTGATCTCGTTGTTGTATTTTTGTTTTTATTATTATTATTATTATTATTATTAATGTCCATTGGGGGGATTCTATGTCTTCTTAAAGAAAGAAAGAGTGGGATATATCTATATATATATATATAGATACAGAGAAAATATGTACAAATAAAGAAAAAAAATAACTAGAGTGTGTATTTTTCCGAGATCCTTCACATTTTCCCAAGTATCTTATTTGAGAAATGCACACTCTCTTTTATTTGCTGATACGATAGAAGAAAAAGAATAAAAGAAAAGAAAAGAAAAGAAATTCGGCTGAATGACAAGTTGGGATAAGTGTAATTATCATGTACGGTTACGTTATGGTTCACAAGAGGAAACTATAACACAACTCACCTTTCCTTTCGGCTATCATTTTTCTTTTCTTTTCTTTCTTATATATATATATATATATATATATATGTTCTCTATCCCACTTTAATCATGTTCTTTTTTTCTTTCTGTTGTTATTATTGTTCTTTTTGTTTGTTTTTCGTGTCGTTAGATTTTTTCATCTCTTGATTTTCTTTTACTTTTTATAATTCTAACATTCCACAAACACAAACATATATATATATATGTACACGTTGATGTGTGTATGTGCGTTTGTTGTTCTTTCTGTCATTATTAATTTTTTTTTTTATGTTGCTGTTTATTGTGTGATTACACTTATTTTTCTTTTGGTTTGTTTCTTTTTTCTTTTTCTTTTTTGTTTTCTTTCCCTTTAGGTTTAATTGGATGTATTCTTTCTGTTCTCCTCCTTTTATTTATCTTTTTTTTTGGTTCTGTATTCCTTTCCTTTTTTAATGTTATTGCTATTTCTCTTTCTCTCTCTTTCTCTCTCTTTCTCTCTCTCTCTCTATATATATATATATATATTATTTTTTGGGGTGCTAACACGGAATAATAGAATCACACGGGTAAAGCTCTAAAGCGCCACCTCTCAGGCGGAATCTAAGACAACAGAAATATATATATTTATATAAATATATATATTTTTCTTTATTTGTATATAGAAAAAAAGAAGAGAGAAGTTTAACAAAACTAACTAAAAGAAAAGAAGAAGAAAAAAAAAGAAAAAAAAAATATACAATATGAGTGAGGCACCAAAGGGATTGGCGGGTGGTCGCCGTAGAAAGGTGGAGAAGGATCAATCCGACGATGAGGAGGAAAACCCAACACTCCTGCAGAAGGACCAACAACAAACAAAAACAAAAGTCACTCGCTCCAAAGCCCCAAAGGCCACCGCCGCCACTTTTAATGCCGTATTGCCTGTACATAAAGACCCCATGGCGGCGAATGAAACCACCGGTGTAGATCCCACTAATAATAATAATAATAATAATATTAATAATATTACTACTACTACTACTATGGATGCTAACAAGACAACAAGTACGGCTAATGTGAATACAACACAAATGGGAATGACCGCCGGGGGAAACGAACATGTAGCGACGGCTCCCTCTCACTTCACTTCACCCGCCACTTTGGCAGATGGATCGGAAGATATCTTCGCTATTGCGTATGATACCTACACCTCAGAGGATCTCTACGCCTTGTTAAAGCGGTATACACGACAGGAGGTGGAAAAGCGAATGGTCGAACATGAACAAATACGTTCAAGTAATCAACAACAACAAATGCAGGTGGAGCGTTTCTTAGATGCCGCACCCACTACTGCTGGACGTGTGGGCACCAGTAATAATAATAACGGCAACAGCAATAGCGCAGAGGAACTTGGTGGATATATGTACAGTGTTATGCTGCAGCGACTGTTTGTGGCGCTTAATCGTAATAAAGAGAGCAGTGCCATGACGGAACGTAATCAACTCCCAACACCACAGTTGGAGAGAATTGGTAAAAAGAAAGTTATCATTACGAACTTTCGTCGTATTTGTCAAGCCTTTCATCGTCCTATTGAAGATGTAAAGGATTACATTGAAAAGGAACTTTCTGTTCGTGGTAACCTGGATACAAATGATGGTCTTATTCTTAAGTATGAAACCCAAAAGGCCACAGCATTTGATAAGATTATTATTAAATATTTGGATGAGTATGTGAAGTGTAATTCCTGCCATAAAATTGATACGACTCTCACAAAAGAGGGACGACGAATGGAACTTCGCTGCAATTTGTGTACAGCCACACGTACAGTGCAGGCAGTGGGATCCGCGACCTTCAGTGCGCAGGTCGGAAAGCGATCCAAGGCGAGAATGCAGGCCTTGACTCTCTAATAAAAATAAGTCATCGTTATTACACAGAGAGAGAGAGAGAGAGGGGAATAGGAGGAAGAAGAAAAGAGAAAAGAGAGAAAAGAAGAAAGATGAGGAAAGGAATGAGATGGAAAAAAATAAGGGGGGGGGAAAGGAAAAATAAGATGAGGTGTTTGATGTTTGATGTAATGATACTTCTGTGTCTGTGTGTGTGTGAGTATGTGATTGTGTCTATTATCGTCTTCTCAGTACCTTAATCCTTATAGGCCCCTCTTTTTTTTTCTTGTTTGTTTGTTTGATTTTTTTTCTTTATCTCTTGTTTTTTTTTTTTTTTTTTTTTTTTTTTTT